ATGGCACTTTGGCTGAACTGAATATCAGTTATAAAGATACAGCCGCCTTCCTCTGTGTAGCCTCAAAAGAATAAACCAGAAAAGACGACAAAATTCAATTGAAAAAACTTAATTAAACAAAAATGGCCATGGACACCACGGTGGGTGCAGCATGCATTCTTGAGCCACATAAATTAAATAACCAGAAACTTCTTGTAGAATCAACAGTAGAATCAAACATTCCCAAGCCAGAGAACACAGAGATGTATAAACAATATAAACTCTGAGTCCATGACCACATTTTAAAGCAAAGGAATGACTGCACTGTTTTTACACACTGTGTATTGCACGCACACACAACGCTTCTTTGCTGAGAAACGCAGTAGTTGTTGACTCTGCTCTGCAGAAAGTGCCAACAATCAGTGAGTTTGTTGTTGTACTCACTTGTCTGCACATTATTCTGTGAGTCTTGTGCACTGCAAGTATCTGCTCTATGTCAACCATTCTCAATGCATAATATAATCAGTCCACTCAGCCTCTCCAGTCCCACTGCACTCCTTAAAGTTTTCAGACATTTTGAGCTGAATGAGGCTCTACAGTCACAACTATGACAGGGACTGTCAAAACAACAGGGAGGACTCACCCACCTCCCTGAAGGTAGAAGTTCCTAAGTGAACACAGGAGTCACTGCTGGAGCGACCACCATGAGCATATTAGCATTGAGAATGTTAGCCAGACCGAGTGTGCACCTATAGGTCATGTAACATCGTCAGTGTGTTTGATTTGGAGGTGGTACATTCAATTAAAGGGAGATGCAACCCTTTTTTAAACTATGCCCAGGTACAATAATGCTAATAAGTGTTGTGCTGGTTTTAACTCTTGCAGGAGTTAACAACGCTCATGTGCATGTTCATTAGTTGCAAACTAACGTTAAATGAACTGTGTGCTTTTAGTGCATTCATGTACAACACTGACCATAACCATACCCATAATGAGCTAGTTAAAGTCCTTAATTTTACTGTGCCGTTGTACTTTTTGGTACTGTTCACTAACTGCCAATCCCGACCAGATCCAAACGCACCCTCACACCTCCCTGACATCTTTTGCTCAATTCTCACATAGTTTATCAGGACTTTTTGTTCTTATTCTGTAACAAATGTAGTGATATGTAGTGAAATACAATACTGGTGATAAAAAGTACTTCAGTAAAAAGAAAATTATTGATTTTTAAAAACCCTGAAAAAACCCCCACTTTGTTACAGTAACAAGAGTAAATGTAGTTTGTCCACATGTCTCATCTTCTCATGGCAGCATACAGTACCTGCTATTGGGGCAGTACAATAACATTAGAATAAAGGAACAATAATGAACTATGTTGCAGACACTATAGTTTCTTATTGAGAAGGCTGTGAGGAATTCCTAACCAGTCCATTATAGAGTACACTTCATTTGATCAAGACAAAGAGATTATAATTGAAGAGATCCACGTGGCAGGCACAGCAACAAGACTAACTTCACGGGTCACGCAATCAGGACTTTTTGAGAAGTTTGATTGTTCTCTGAGTATGAAACACTGCAGCTCCACAGCTCTATAAACTGAAGCACAGGCATGTATGAAGTTAGAGGGCAGGACGTCTGTGTAGTGACAGTTCACACTTAAGGGGGCACATTTATCACTCTTGAGTTGTCATACACACAAACTTGGCATGAACTGTCAGGGGTCAACGATTCAGAAATAATAACACACACACAGTCAGTGGGCATGAAATGTCAGGGGTCAACAGATTTAAGAATGCGACAGTGTGTGTTTTGTCAGAATGCATTTACACGTTGCTACAAGTGCACTGAAAGGGAAAATGTTAATACGCGGTTGTTAAAATGGTGTTTGGTCATGAGGGAGTTGGTTGGCTGTGTTGTCCTGTCATGTTAATTAGAAGGTTAGAGGAGATCTGGATATGTTATACCTTGTATATGTGACACAATTATGGAGGGTCAAGGTCAGGAATTTGAGATGGGGTAAGAAGGCAGAGAGGGTAGGTGTCAAACAGTTCATACCTGTCACAACTCAACCCCTGACCTTTTTGACACCCACCCACAGCCTCCTACTCTAAACCTCCTGGCATGACACTCTTCTCTAAAGCCTGAGGCTGCAGATGCAGGGAGGGGCAGAGGGTGGCTCCGCTCAAGTGTTATTCCAAGTGTATTTTGCAGCAAGCTTGTCAATCTGTTTCATGTCTTTGTACACCACTAGAATCCTGTGCTGATGTGCTTAGCATGCCATCACAATATTTCATGCTCTGTGCAAACAATACGTAGGTGCTGGACATATTTCAAGAGTGTGTGTTTAGACTGGCAGTACACAGTTGGAAAGACAGGCCTGAAATTAAGGAAAGCCGTGCCAGGACAGGCCCTGTCTTCCAAGATCTGTTTCTGACTGGGTTTGTTTCCGGAGGATTCTTTCTACCATCAATCAGTTACTGGCATCAAGTCAGCATTAGATACAACAGTGAATGGCATCACCACATTCAGGCCTGGTGAGAAAGAAGTAAAGTTGTATGCATGGGGTTTGCATTATTCTCTAGATCAAAGAATTTACTCATCCATAACAGTAAGAGTAAATAAGAAGTGGTTTGATACGGACAAAATACTGAACATCATTTGTTGGTTCTTCAATAGTAGGCCTAGGTACATGTGTATATTTTTAGTATTGACTAAATTACCATTTACGGTCCAGTGTGTAAGATTTAATGGCATCAAGCGGTGAAGTTGCAACCATCTGAATACAGCTTGCCTTATTAGCATGTAGGAGAAACTACTATGTACTTTCTAGAGTACCATAGAAACATGGTGGTTCAGCATGGCAGACTCTGTAGTAGAGGACCCGCTCATTCTAAGATAAAATTCCATTTCTGCCAGTAGTTCCTAATAAATGTTACACACTGAACCTTATGCTCAACACTGGCATCAAATGCTTTCCTCAGAGTTGTAGTTAACATATTGGCACCAATATATTTAATGATAACCAGCTCTATTCACCAGACCCCTCTGTAAAACTATGCAATTACCCATTCTGAAAAAACATGACATGCAGAATCCTCAGTTAGTGCATCTGACTTATCTTTCATATTTGGCAACACACATAACAACAGGTAAACTATTGCAAATGTGCCAGTAGTAAACTCTTTATCTGTACCCAATAGTGGATAAGATTTTCACTGCTGTGTGTTGCTGTCAGTGACAGGTTCCTGAAAGCAGTGGCATGCTATGCTTTGGTGGCATTAGGAGGGAAGGGGAATGTGGCGCTATGTTTGGAATCTGAGATGGGTCTGCATGCCAGGCAGCACGTCTCTAGCCACCCCTACTCTTTTGACCCTCCCCCCATCTCACTCTCCAACCCCCTTCTCCCCGCCGTCCCCCTTAACGTCATCTCCACTCGTGTGAACTAAACTTCCTCCTGGTCCTCAGCAGAACCAACATATTGATAGAAGGCAGCTCCTCTGAAAAAGCCTTGCTTCTGTTTTTAGCTGGATGACAGCCCACGTCTTTTGTGTGTTTTTTGCACATCCTGTTGCTTGTGGGTGGAAGTGTTCTCTGATTAATTTCAAGTCACACCCCATTCAAAGTAAAGGTCAGAAAGAGGCATTCTATGCTATTTTATTTACTTTCAGATAGACTGTTTTGGTCAATGGCAACAGTGATTAAAGGACAGTCAAAAAGACTATTTGCAACCTAATGTTTTTTGTTGTGTGTTATTAGGAACAGTTCTCAGAGAACTATGCCAGACAATTGGCAGCTGACCTCTGAACTCTCTCACAATCCATCAACCCAAGCACTACTTGAACTTGAGGCCATTACTTTTCAGGGTTGAGGGGGAGATGTGCATCAGCATAATTGTGGATTCTCTTGACATAGTCCATGATTCCACAGCAGAGCCATTGCCGTGTTTTACTTTGCTTTGATATGAGTGGCAACATACCCTGCCTCATGCAAGGAGAGATAGCAACCTGAATGTTTCAAATGCCCGCTGGGTTCTCATCAAGGCGCTGAGGGATGCTGGACGAGTGTGGGCCTGCCTTCATCCTTCTCAAAGTGAAGACAGTCTATAGAAATGTCTTTTATTTAGATAGCTCATGCACAGTTTCCATTCATCACCTCAATCCTGAGGTAAGGTGCCATAAGGTTAGCAAATGTGCCTTGGGTGCCCCTTTTTAAAAAAACATGTTAAATGTTGTTTTAGGATCCACACAAGCACTGAAATTGAGATACACCCCACAAAAAATAACTTTTTTTAACTAGCTTTTTGTTGACTCTGCAGGTTTCACGGGTTGAAATTCCTACCTACACCAAGTCCATGACAGACCATAACAAAGAGAGCTTTGATTATCACAATTACCTTTCCATTGTACAATGTTCAATCAAGCTGAAGTCACCCGCTTTTAGGGCTTGATGGACTGCAAAGGAAACACTGATCTGAGCGTCATGAACCTGACAGAAAGCTCAGTGTTGGCAGAAACAGTCATTGGCATCATTTTCTGCCCTTGTATGGCCAGTATATCCAGATGCAAGGTGGAGATAAAGAGTTCAGAGAGAACAGACGTGGATCATGTGGGCTTAGCTGATGTCTTTTCACTAACCTGGCTGCACCTGCACCACTTTTATTGACTCCATGCTGACAAATGTTGGTGAATTGTTTGTACTTTGCTGTATGGCCACACAGAAATCAAGCTGCACGAAAAAAATCTCATAACAGGAAGCTTTGACTTTGATTCAGTGGAATGGATGAAAGCTCATTAAAGTCATTAGTTCTTTGGCGATTATTTTTAGATACACAACTATCAAACTGGGGTTGTGCTGTTGCATTCACAAGAAAGGAAACGTGAGTATTGTCAGAGCTGCCGGCCAGGACTGGAGGCTTACTTGATAGAGCAAGTAGAGTACAGGAAACTGCAACATTATGCCAAAATCCGTTCAGACCAGTGACTGCTTTTTGTTTTGCCTGCTCTTTGTGCTCTGGTTTTTAGCTTTTCCATGTGGCGTACGTCCTCATCAAGTTTGCTAATTCACCTCGTCCTGACCTCTGGGTGCTGGAGCGCTCTGTAGACAACGGGAGAACCTTCAACCCCTGGCAGTATTTTGCACGTAAGTTCCCATGTGATGGTATTTTGCAACGTTTTAGTTGCAAACAAAACAGAACAACACTTCCTTCCTGATTATGGGCTGGAAAATCAAAGGTAAAGTTGCTTACACATAAGCTACCAGTCCCCCAGCTGTCAGTGATTTATAAGTAAATCTGGTAAATCTGGAATTTATTTTGTAAGTAAACCATTTTTTGTAAATAAACATCTGTTATACTCTATTGTTGACTGTGTAATACAGTAGTATTTTAACTTATCCTCAGTTGACAAAAGCTTTCACACTTTTTGTTTTTGTTGCACTTGGCTGCAGGTTTTCTCTTCAGATGCAACAATAGTGTGTTTGGAATAAATAGAAAAAGATTGAAAAGTAAAAGTGCAAAAACACAAAACTTAATCATTAACAAAATCCTGTCAAAATCACAAAAACACAGATATGGACCATTACTGTGTCTTTGTAATAAACTGCTGTTAAATCATAAATGCCATATTTTGGATCTTTTTCATGGCAGACATTTTGAGGCATTATATAAGGGAATGCACAGGTGTAACTAATAATGTTAACAATGGCCCGCTAAGCCATGCCAGAGATCTGGCATGTAGAGTACCGGAACCCCCGGGACTGGCACTGCTGAATGGAATGCAGGTATTATATTATCTTTATTAATTACACCTGTGTCTTTCCTGCTATGTCAAGTCTAAATATCTGCTCAGTAAAAGACCCATTGTGGAGATGGATTAAATTTTGTTTGCTATGGCACACTGATCAGCCTGCTTAAGAATTTAAGACAGGAAATATGTGTGATTATGGTGTATTAAAAGAAATCAAAACTTTGAATGAAGTCTAGGATGAATTTTAGACTTTACATGTTTATGTTTTGTGTTGTTTTTTTGTGTGTGTAGACAATAGCAAGTGGTGACATGGAATACATTTCACACTTAATTACTAGTGTGGTGGAAGATGAACCACTCATACTTCAGGAGACCTGGATGACTTACACAGCAGAATTTAGGAGGGGGAGAATAAGATCAGCAATACATGTGAAGCGCAGTGCAATGCCAACCCAATTCTGAAGGATACCTGCTGTCAGGAAATATTTACCACAAACCTAGACTCACATAGATCTACTAGTGTCCCAAAATATGGTCATATGTAACTTACGCAGCTATATATGTGTGAAGATCCAATTGGGCAGTGGTTCACTGTAACAAGTTTTAAGCCTGAACTACTTACCTGAATACACACTCGCACTTTGCTGAGTTGGCAAAACTGAGGTATGATGTCTATTATCCGGAAGGCACCTGTGCACATATACTGCCAAGAGACACAGCTGTGACTCATTAGATTTACAATCCCAGAGTTTCGGTTTGCTATCATTTTTACTTGATGCAAGTTCATGTTCATTCAGGATCTCTCAAGAGTTCAGCACAGATTCTTAACTGTCATAATTCATTCGCTGAGCTTTAAATCCCTTAAAGGTTTTGTTTCCTTTTTGTAAAATACTTTGGATATTACACTTCCTATAATTTTCATCCCCTGCCCAATTAACAATAGTAAAACAAATACACACACACACACACACACACACACACATTAATGCAATACATTTTACATATTCTCTAAACATTATTATACTTGTGATTGGTAATAGAGAGTAGCTTTATAGAAGTCAGTCATGTGATTGTCATTGCTTTCAAATAAAAAAGGAGAGGTGAAAGATAAACATTTCTTTTGGCAGATTCAAAGCACGAGTGTATTGAGAAGTTCGGAAAGCAGCCCAATGCTCGTATATTAAATGACGATGACCAGCTCTGCACCACAGAATACTCACGGATTGTCCCTTTGGAGAACGGAGAGGTAAAATATCATAGCAAGTTGCTAAATTTCATGAGGTATCAAAAACAATCTTTGTGAAATAAATTTGTGTTGTCCAGATTGTGGTGTCTCTGATCAACGGGCGGCCGGGGGCCAAAAACTTCACCTACTCGCCAGTGCTGCGAGACTTCACAAAGGCCACCAACATCCGCCTGAGCTTCCTCCGCACCAGCACCCTGCTGGGCCACCTGATCTCCAAGGCCCAGAGAGATCCCACCGTCACACGCAGGGTGAGGCACATACTGTACAACCTCACACAAAGGTGTTATGGCTGGCAGGCTCTTGTTCCCCATTTGGGAAAGCCAGATTTACAACAGCACCACCTACCCTCTAGCCTCTTTTTTGCTGACACAAACACACTGACCTGCTCCCTCCTGCTCACACATTCATCCTTGTCAAGGCCTAATGCCAGATCTGTCTGTCCAGTCATCATAGTAATTCCTTTGGTAGAGACAGCCAGGACTGGCTTGGACAGTTCCCACAGGCTGCAGGTGCATAATATGGCACTTCTTCTCAGAGCAGGAGAATACATGTTAAGAAAAACCTGCAGCATCAGAGTAATGAGGGCAAAGCCTGTTTGTTATTTTATGTTTGACTTGTGGTTTTCCTGTACCATAACTTTAGTAAAACTGTTGTAATTGTATAAAGTAAATCTCTTGTAGACTAATTCCTGAAATGTATTCTCTGGATTCTCACGTCCAAAACAGCTCATTATTTTTTCTTTACACGCTGAGAAAAAAACAGTGTTGATTCTTATCAGATCAGCTGTTGATTCCTATCTTGTTTTTTTTTTTATAATGGACTCATTCACCCCATAAAACTGGCCTTAGTTCACGAATCATGGTTTAATTTTGTACTTGTCACTATGTGTGACTCACTTCTGCTGCCACGCGAAGCCAGAAATTGGAACTGGTGTGGGTGATGTTGTGGAGTTGCTGATAAAGCCGGTGTTATTTCGAAATAGTGGTGGTGATAACATTTTCCTTATTTGTTGACAGTATTACTATAGTATCAAAGACATCAGCATTGGCGGACGCTGTGTTTGTCATGGGCATGCCCAGGTGTGTGGTAGCGGGCGTGATCGGGACAACCCAAACAGGTTAGTAATGCTCTTCATCTCAAGCACTGCTACTTGCATTATAATATTTGACACAATACTTTTGTGTGGTACAACAACGGCAACATTTTTCGTCACTCATTAATTACAATCTGAACCGGTTATGTGCTAACATTTCAAAAATTAACTTTGAAGTAAGATTTCAATGAGTAAGTTTGTTTCATGTGTTTATTCATTAACATAGCTGAACAGTCTTTTTGTACAATGACCTCCTGTGTATAACCAGTGCACTGGGATGACTTAATGCTGAAAACAATGAGGCAAAAACCACAGAGATGCTGCCAAATATAGTGATTGAGTGATAGTAAATTGTTTCCAAGGAAGGGTTACCTCATATGTTTGTACATTGACATCACCATTGTAAAGAGCAGCAGATTGTTTTAGTTACTCTGATTACTGGCTGTGACGTTGTAAATAGTTGGTAAAGGGCAAGATGTGTGATAAAGTGCTGCTTTAAACCACTGTTGCCCTCTGTATTCTGAAGAGCTAAACAACAGCAACACAGCATTCGTGAAGGCTTCATTGTGTTTTATTGTTTGGTAGCAACTTTGGCTTTTTAAATGAATGTTCCATTTGGCTTAAAGCTGCTCCAATCACCTGCAGCTCTACAGAGCGCTTTAGCATCTTTCAGCTCATTGTTTTTTTGATTTTACTGTTTTGTTACTGTCTCAGTATTCTCATCAGCATTGTTTCCAGGTACTTTCAGAAAAAGACAAACAGACAAGCAAACATGACTCTAAATTAATGCTGATGTTGCTTTATGTCTGCTGTTTAAATGGACAGCTGTTTTCTGACATTTTTGACATAACAACTTAATAAGGTAATGATCTCACCTAATAATCTTCACCTTGTTCTGCCGTCCCCAAGTGGTTTAAAGAAATAATGAATGCAAGTTTAAAGAGTTTAAAATCCAGGTGTCTCATCCCCTGTCTGTAGACTCCAGTGTGAGTGCCAACACAACACCTGTGGTGAGTCATGTGACCGCTGCTGCCCAGGCTTTAACCAGAAGCCATGGCGTGCTGCAACTGTTGACAGCCCCAATGAGTGTCACGGTAAGTGTACATGTACAATGGTTCAGTCAGTGTGTAAACAAAACCACACACTGCTACTCCCCACACTGCTGGCTCCTTGAATTACAACCCCCAGAGTGGACTGAAGTGTCCTCTGATATTTAAACCCTGTTGTGCATGCCCTGATATGGTATTGTATAGAGCCTCTGTGAAGAGTTGAGAGGACATTCCTCATATGGTATGTGTAATGAACAGCAAAGTGCACAACTAGCTCCAGGATAACTTCTCATCAGCTAGCCAGACCCGCGTCAGCCTACCAGATAGTCCCCCATGCCAGCTTATCAGCGAGCCATCCATTCAGCCAGCAGAGCCTGTGTCAGCTGGAATCTAATTGCTTTGGACTGTTGACAGATTTTTTCTTCACAAAACATGAATTTGCAGAAGCCAAAAACGCAGAGAGAAACATTAAGAAGACTTGGAATCCAATCAGTGCAGTGGAAATGCACGTTAGCCATTCATAAACATTAATGAGAGACAGGGGTGGTATACAGGAAGGGGATGTGTCGTCCTGTTTAGTTTGGATTTTATAGTTTCTCTTAACACTCAACAACCAGACTTATAACTCCTTTTTGGAGAATGAGTAGCTTAAAGTGCTTAAATACAGATGAGGGAGTCAGAGGTAATTTGCTGAGGGATATAGAATAATTGTGTGTGTATGTGGGTGTGTGTGTCTGTCTCGGGGGTTTCCTTCATAGCCTGCCAGTGTTTCTCCCATGCCTTTGACTGTTATTACGACCCAGAGGTGGAAAGGAGGGGAGCAAGTTTAGACACCTTCGGCAGGTACAACGGAGGAGGAGTGTGCATCAACTGCCAGGTATGAAATGCATGTCAAGTCTAAACGGATTCCCGTGTTTGAATGTGTGTGGTTCTAGGGGAGGAGGGGGGAAAAAGAAAATGAAGAAAAATTCCATGTTGTCTGTGAATGTCTTCTGTAGAGCATGTGATACTGCATCATTTGCTCTGCAACTTTTGGTTTGTGAGGCCAAAACAAGCCTTTTTCATTTACACACTTTCCTCCACTACAAGAAATATAATACCCCTCTGGTATATTACACTGATGCAGAGAGTATCAGCATTGTATCTCGTCACATGCATCAATGCGCATTTGAAATGAGAGATTCTACTTTACAGAGCAAAGAGGACTCTTGTGCTAATCCAAGGACGTCATCTATTCTGTTCTATCTGTTTTGATCTATATACCTGTTTCTCCCTCTCATAGTCAGTGTATTACCTACAGTAGACGGTGGTTAGTGTGACCCCAGTTTGGAAAAGCAGACAGGAGTACCAGCATGGAAATACTAAGTTTAGTTGGCTAAAATAATTTTTTTGCTAACCCCATCCACAGCAGTACATTGCTTAGTTTCCATTCTGGTACTTCTGTCTGCTTCTCCGAATTGGGGACATGCTAACCTCTGTCTACTGTAGGTAATATGTTGACTACGGTCAGTACCTCATACAACCCCACTTCAAAAAACCTGAACTATCCCTTTAAATTATGTAGGACTAATGGCTCACACATTATTTTCTCATTCTTTTTTAGCACAACACTGCTGGAGTGAACTGTGAGCGATGCCTTGAAGGGTTCTACAGGCCTTTCGGAGTACCTCCAGAGTCTCCCACTGGATGCATACGTGAGTTGCGTTTTCTGTGTTTGTGCCCTTGATTTACTATAACATTGAAATACCCAATTTTCAATTCTATTTTGTTTGTTAATTTTTTTTGTTAGATTGCTAGTGTATTTGCATGACAAGGATCTGAGTCTTGCCAGACTATTCAGGAACTGTTAGATGTACAGTATGTAGGCGTATTTGTGTCTCAAACTTGAGAGCTGTGGCTGCCTTGTGTATGTTTGGTTTGATATTTTTCCTTATTCTATTTCAGTTGGGGGTTAGGAGCATAGATATGAATCAAAATCTTTGTGATTTTTGTGTGAGGGCTGCAATCTGTTTTCATTTAGTATCTCTAAACTGTGAGAGAAAAATGACAGTAGAAATGCCCACTGAGACTGTGAGTGTAGAGACATGTGAGACGTTTAGACATTTAGATGTCTAATAGATGTTGCTGTGGTGGTCTGCACCAAAACAAAAGGCTTTGTAAATATTAAACTAAAAGAGATATTAAGACAACATGCATAGTTCTCAGTAGTTGTTACAAAATACCTTTCAGATAAGAGTTCAAATCCATTTCTGCAGCTGTATTAATTAATGCAACATCATTAGATAAGTTGGGGACTAAATAATGTTTTACCGTATAGTTATTTGACCTACAGTGTACATGAGAAACAAGTGAAGCTAAAACAAGGTTATATTCTAAGAGAGGCATCAGCGTCTTATTTGAGACTGACACAAATGGCAGCATTGCACAAGCTCCACTGGCACCATCGCTTGTATTATTGCTAAACTGGGACCATCTCTTGTTTACAGTACTTTAATGGTCCGTGGCTGTTCCTCGTAGTATAAATAGCTGCCAGTGGTGTTTGGACATTAGAAAGTAGTGGAATTGAACTGGTTGCCCTGAGCGCTTTGAAAAGTAAACCATAAAATCCACAAATGCAATTAAGTCAGCTTAGCAGAGGAAGGCGTCAGTAAAGCATCAGTATCATCATTATTTGCTTCTGAGATCTCTCATTGTGAGATAATGGTTTGTTTAAAGCTCTCTGATTGTCTCTTGCTTGACAATCAATAATTCTGTGCTGTGTTAATGTGTATACATGTCCACGTTAGTCCAAATTGATGCATCTGTTGGTATGTGTACCCATTTGTCTTTAAAAAAAACATGTGTCCCCCACCAGCCTGCAGGTGTGATGAAATGACTACAGCCGGCTGTGAAATGGGGTCTGGAAGGTGTATCTGCAAGCCACAGTTTACTGGAGAAAACTGTGATCGCTGTGCTGACGGATACTATTCCTACCCTCAGTGCATTCGTAAGTTTAGTGTTTTTCTCATCACATGCTGGATACCCAGTTTACGTAATGGATGGGTGGATAAATAAATGGAGAAGTTGGGAAACATAGGGGTGAGGGAGCTGAAGATGTCATTCTGGTGTGCAAATCCAATAAGTCATACGGTATGAATAACATCTGTGATTGTTGCAAGTAAAGGCAGTGTGCAAAAGGAAGCAGCAGAAACTGTTTTGTTTTATTAGAGAAAACTTTAGTTACTGTTACTGTACTTTAAAGTAACTGTTATTTGATGAAATGACGTGTCCGTGTTTCAGTTTCATGGTCACCCTTTTTTAACCTTTTGTGTTTCAGTTTGCCCCTTGAGGGAAGATTAAACTTTATTATAATTACTAGATTATATACCCAAAGAAGTATGCCTTTAAAGCTGCAGGGCGACATGCTAAGGATGTATGCACAGGCTACAGTACTGACTAACACACATTCCACATGCCATACCTCCATCTAAACAAATAGATGCAGATATTAGACACAAAAAGAGAATTTCCCCCGTCTTATCTCGGTCTGATCTGGCTACAGACTCAGCAGTCTGCCAAGGCGAAGCGATAAGCCACCCAGTCTTTCATCTTTCAGCTTTTTAAGTCATTTTCATTTTTTTCTTCCAGTGTTTTTTTCTGTCTTACGGCTGACTGACATAAGTGTTTTTAAGGTCTCTGCCTGACCTCACTACAGCATTCAGCTTCTGTGTTCCTGGATTATGAATATAGTCACTTGTTTTCTCAGAGGGGGCATATATGTTTTAATTAACTTAAGTTGAATGAGTTTAACATAGAGAGGCATCCGACCCATGTAAAGATGTATATTTCTTTTTCCCTAATCCTAATTATAGTTTTCACTATAAAATTCACTTTGATTAACCCGTGATTACCATCTTTAAATGTTCATGTTCATACAGTTATACAAAAGAAAAGCAAGTAATCTGCCCCAGGTGTATTGTTTTTCATGTCATATACATGTCATATACATGCAATAGATTTAGTACTAGAAGTTATTAAAACTAAGTCTCTGTTCCCCAGGCTGTTAGCACTGAACTTGTCTAAACATGCTGACACAGTCATGAGAAGGCTGTCTGAGTTTCAAGAGATTCTTCGCTGTGTCACTGTATACAATTTCTACAACTTGTGTTTGTGATACAGTATTTCATAGTCAGTTTAGTTTATTGCTGGTAGAAGGCTATGCTAATTTACATGTAGGGATCACAATGTTTAAGAAATTGACATTTTAGGAAATGCAGTTATTTGATATTGTGCTAGAAGTTATGTAGCTGGAGCTAGCATACATTTAGCTTAGCTCAGACTGAAAGACTGAAAACAGGCTCTGTCCAAAGGTACCAAAACCCACCTAGCAAAATATCTAAAGCTCGCTTATTAACATGTTGTATTTTATTTGTTTAATCCATGCAAAAACAGAATAAAAAAAACCCCAAGCTGTGTATTTAAAGGGGGGATTTACGTAAGAGCAGTGAATGAACATATTTTCCAAACTATACCTTTAAAAATGTTTGCTTTAGATGGCAGTGCGGTTCGTGTTTATGGGTTTTTCTAAAATGTTACTTACAGTTAAAGCAATCCTCCACTGCAATAACTAATGGTGAGGTTTTTCTTGGTCACATTTTTCCATCAGTGGAGGTCTTAATTTTGTGCCTTTCCTTTGCAAACAGGCTATCCTGTATACCCGACAACCACCAAATCCCCTGCAGGACCTATTGTGGGTAAGTTCATTAAACTAGATTTTGCAGTGTCTTATACCACAATTTAGCTTGACAGAGGTTTTTAAACAATATTTTAAAATGCTGTCACTGTTATTTTTTTTCTCCATCGTTCTTTCTTTTTGTCTGTATAGGGCCCACCGCCTGTCCTACGGGTTATTTCAGCTCACCAAGCTGTCAGCATGAGTGCGATTAAACCTGATATGTTGTGCTACTATAAAGGCGTTTACATGGCTATGCTGTTAACTGCTTTTATGTCGTCTTCTCATTTGCATTCACGGTATCTAAAAAAGCTGCTGATACTGTATCCTCTTGAGGAGCTTTTTTATAGGGCATTCCTTGACTTTTTGTCACCTGAGTCACATTCATTTACAGGCAGCCCATGTTGTTAAAAAGAGCTTTAGAGGACCAAGTCAGGCACCACTGAGTCTGACTTGGTTTTCTCCAGAGTTAAAAGTTAAGAACATGTGACAGAGGTCAGTCAAAGAAAGCCTTAATGTATGTAGGCACGACTAAAGGTCAGATCTTGTTTGTAGTCCTTATGAGAACAGAACTTGCAGTATATTATGGTTGGGTTTAATGTAATGGTTAAAATACGTATGTAATATATCATCAGAATGAGTAAATCTGCTGCTCAGTTACAGCAGATATCTTGCAATGTTGAGCACTGATGCTCTTAGATTATTATGTGCGTCAGTGGGGATTTAAGTTCAAGTTATCTCTGCCCTCTCCTGATAGCATTAGTCATTTGGGACTGTTCAGTGAGAACTAACCAGTCTATTATTAGTTATGGGCCCTGTTCTAAATTGCCTTTTCTGGTTTCCTCCAAGCTGGGAAACCCATTATTAGTATTATGGCATTTCTATTAAAACAAAGACCTTTAGCCCTTGGCTTTTTCTGTCATTTGTCAGAGAATGTAGTCAAACAACATCTTTCACTTACTGTAGCTTGAGAACATGTCTTTCATTGTGTGAGCTGACTGAGAATGAATTTCATCAGCAGCCTTTGAAAAGCTGATTTTCATGTTTTGGAGCTGCTTCGGGGCATAGAAAACGGTGGCAGCCTCTCTAGAGGTTGTCCTGTCTTAATGCCAAGTCTATTCACATACCAATACCAGGCGAGGCTTGGCAAGACGTGGGCACCAGTGTAGCCGTACCACTGTGTGCCACAACAATATAAGAATAGTTCAACTGACAGAAGTATTTGTCATTCCATGTTGTTCAGCTGGACCAATAAAAGTGCTCCGGCTCATTTATAAGCAAGATTCAGGGTTCAACGGGGGTTACTCATTTGAATTTGTATTAGTTAAGATTTAATTTGTTTACTTTTATTGTTGGAATAAACATTTCTTTTGTGTTTGTGCACAGAGTGTATATGTGACTACAGAGGGACAGCGTACGGGGTGTGCGATGCTTCAGGACGCTGCCTTTGCCGTCAGGGTGTGGAGGGGGTGCAATGTGAACGCTGTCAACCAGGATACCACTCCTTCCCAAACTGCCAGGGTGAGAAAGAATCACTGTGCCAAGGAGCATTCACCCCCCACAGACTGTAAAAACACAACCTCATCAGTGTAACTTGACTGAATGCCAGTAGTGATATTTTGGACTGTTTGCAGACAGCTACACATTAAGGGTTGGTGTGCAAATAATTTTAACTGGTTTTTCAGCAAACCTGTGCTTTATTGTTACCCAAAAATGTGTCCCTTTACTTACATGAACCTGCTTTTGCTACTTTCTGGAGCAAGTAGCAGGGCCATTTTAGGCCCATTTTAAAGTCTAAGCTTCAGACTTTAGACACTTGACCCTTGAGGCTCTAAAATGGCCTTCCTGAGAACCCTGCAGACCAACAAAATCTACTTTATCTTATCATCAGCTTATGTAATTTTAAGATTTATCTAAAGTAATCATTTAAAAAACTCAGTTTGAAATGCATCTGTCATACTATTCTTTTTAAGGTATTTATTAGTTGTTTTTGTAAACAGTCCTTGCTTATACAGACTAGGGATACACCAGTACCATGTTTTTTTAGACCAGATACCAGTACAAGTACTTACATTTAAGCTCTAAAAATGAGTTTGAAAACATGTTTTATTTTCATTAGATTTTCTTCACTTTGACTGTAACATATTAAATGTTGCTAATGTTATTGGAAAAGTTGCTTAAAAGATCTCCAAATTGCTGACATTGCCTCTCCTTCACCTACCTGCTCAACTAACGATATTCTAATGAGAATAAGGAGTATCCAACTATGCAAATTTGCTAAAGTAGCAGCTTATGACCCTCTTTCTCTTTCTGTAGCGTGTCTCTGTGATGGTGCTGGTGTAGCTGACAGTGTGTGCACTCCAAGCGGACAGTGTGTTTGCTTTCCCAACTATGGGGGACAGGAGTGTGACGAATGCGCCCCAGGCTACTATGGGTACCCAGACTGTGCTGGTGAGTGGGCTCGATCCCTGTGAGTCCACCATTGTAACTACTGTAGATAAACCAATCTGGTTCCATGTGATCTACGTGCTGATGGAAAAAATGTTGCTTCTGGTTTCACTGGTCTTACAGTGGCCTCTTCTCATGACTCTGTGGAGCAAACATCCTCATTCTTCCACAGTATCCTGTAAAACTCATTGTTGTCATCCACATTGATTTATTTAAAACATTTCACAGAGAACTGGTACATGAGATATATATGGACTTCTTCCTTCTAGGGAATCATGTTCCCAAGAATAGACAACTGGGAATCACTAAAGGAAATCAGATTCTGGGAATAAAACAGGAGTCATGTTGAACCTTTTTAATATCAGATTCACTGGCTTACATTTTACATACTAACATAGAGTTCTTGATCCCTGTCACCAGCCTGCCAGTGTTCACAGGAAGGCTCATATGGCAGCATATGCAACCCGCTGTCGGGTCAGTGCCTGTGTATCCCAGGGATAGTAGGCCAGCAGTGTGACCGCTGTGCCTCTGGACTCAGGTTCCCCCAGTGCTCAGGTAACCGCATCAAAAACCCATCGTACTCACAAATTAAGTAATTCTGGGACTAAACAGTAGCAGCAGCTAGACCAATAATATTTAATGTGGCATTTTGTATTGTTGAAGGATATCATTTGTTTAATGTGTTGACAGTTCTCTCTTCAGTCCTCCTTCATATAAAATAATGGAATACCTTTGTGCTAACTAACTACACAATTTACTGATTACAAATATTTTTTGACTTTGTTGTATATTCATTTTGTATTTCTAGTCTCCATCAGTGTGTGTAACCCAGCAGGAACTGAGGTTGCTGATCCTCAAACGGTATGTCACTCTCAATAAACTTAAGTTGTCTGACTACCAAAGGCCTACCTTGATCATGTTTTTATTAGCATTGATGACAGTGAAGTGGTCATGGTCTAAATCCAGCACTGGCTGTTTGGGTTTGGATCTACATTACTTCAAAGTTATTCAACTGATAACACAGCTGTGCTGCTAAAACATCTTCCAGTAGATTTTAAAAGGAAGTGCTTTTCCCTGAAATGTAAGTGCAATTAAAATAAAGGAAAGGAGACTTCCTTCCATTTTGAAGAGGAAGAAAAACAATAATGGGTTTCTGGAAGGTTTTTTTTTACCTCCATATCCTATGTTTAAAAGAAAGAAAAACTGCTAATTTCCAGTCATTCTGAAAACTGCCACTGTAGTACAATATGCAACAGCTTGTGGCTGATTTCAATCTATCTGATTGTAAACAAATATAACATGGCTTTCAACAGTAGCTGCCAGTCTCAACAATCCTTAGTTTCCTTATCTGTTGTTTCAGGGCTCCTGCCGCTGCCTACCAAATGTAGAGGGAACCCTGTGTGACAGATGTAAACCTCTCTACTGGAATCTGGTTACAGACAACCCTCATGGCTGTATAGGTAAGAGACTGGAAATCTAAAGAGATCAGAAAACTATTATTGTCTTAAATTTGTAAAAGGTGTAAGAAATACATAATACAGAGCTGAGCTCCTGGCAGCCAAAAGTGCCCCAGTCTGATTTCCCCAGGAGTATTAATTCTGATCACTGACCCCATTTCTGTTCCACTGTATTAAATCACCAGTAGCAATCTGACAAGGCACTGATATGGGTCTTGGCCTCTCTTTACCGAGAGGATATGTCAACATACCCCTGTCAACAGGGCCGGATCTGCCTTCCTGTCCCTCAGAGGGGAGCTGAGGAATGACACATAAATGCAGGCAAATTCCTGTTAACAACTTTGAGTGTTGAGCTGCAAGTTAACCTGTCCGATTTCATGCTGGGACTTTGCAGTAATGAGTACCCAGCGGCATAATAAAAACAATACCTGTGGACTTCTACTTTGTCTGTTCTTTAACCCCACAGAAAATAAATCTGTCCTAATACACTGAAAATACTTAATATGAGAATAATAAGGTGACTTCCATTATCTGGCCAGTGAGAGAACAGCTTCTGGCTTTGTCCAGATACCTGTCTAATGTTACAGTTCTGCTCTGTAGCAAGAATGCTGTCACTACCACACTGCCTGAAGACTCAAGAAGGGGGGGAAAAGGAGCTTTTAATATCCTAAGAATTCCTCTGGTTGACTGTAGCCGGACATTAAGGGGATGTTTTTTTCACGGGGTTGAAAGCAAGCTGTGGCCATAAATCTCCTCTGGACCTTTGATGTGGAGATCTCTGAAGATTGTGGGGTTTATGTGCTGTTGTGTTTCACCCATGAAAGTGACAAAATCCTGTAATCAGAGTCTATTCACTGTAGAGCAATCTTTATATTTTTACCGCTCGCTTTCATACCAGAGTGCCAGTGTGATGTGAAAGGGACCCTGAGTGGTGTTGGAGAGTGTGAACAGGTGAGTATTTCATTACTACTTCCAGTGACAGATACACATCTATTAATCAAACTGTGATTCAGATTAGAGAGTTCTTGTACAGGAACAAAACAGGAGTTTTGACTGCATGGCTTAGCCACAATTTTGTCACATTCATTTCATGTGTCTTATATTCTACTGATCATATGTTCATCTAGAAAAGTGGACAGTGTCACTGTAAGCCTAATGCTTGTGGACATGCATGTGACACCTGTAAGGATGGATACTTCCTGCTGCAGAAAAAGAAGTATTTTGGTTGTCAAGGTAAGACATCCTCAACCAAATCTTGTTTTTGCTGACCTCCAGCAGTTTAACCTCTCATCTCAGTTAAAGTGTACTCAGGATTTGATCATGTGACATCATCGTTGGGTGTGGGTACAGATGCAACATTCATCAGTGATGTTAGGGGTGGTTACAGTTGCAAGGCACCAAGCAGAAAGGGTAGGGAAACAATGCTTTTCATTCTGGTATTAGGTTACTTTTTAGTAATGACTTTTACTCTCTCTGATAGGTTGCCAGTGCGATGTAGGTGGTGCTGTTAGCATGGCGTGCAATGAGATGTCGGGACAATGCCAATGTCGGAAGAATGTAGTTGGTCGTAAATGCACTGAGTAAGATATGTCCGTCTTAAAATGTCATCATGCATTAGGATTCACACAAAAATGCACTCATCTTTTGGAAATTTTGACTCTAACCTACATCGTTTTGATTTAAATTGTCATGTACCCTGTTAGGCCAGCACCAAGCTACTATTTTCCAACTCTCCACCAACTGAAGTTTGAGGTTGAGGATGGCATAACGCCAAATGCCAGACCAGTGCGCTTTGGTTATAACCCCCAAGAGTTCCCAGATTTCAGCTGGAGGGGTTATGCTGTAATGTCTCCTGCACAGGTTAGTATATATTCACATCAGTACCTTGATATATTGGATACATTGATGTGACTATCTGACTATCTGCCTCTTCAATAACCTTCTAGTTTCCTTTTTCAGTCTATTCTGATACCACCATGATTGTTTTGCTTTTATCTCTGCACTGATTTCACTGCTTAAAGTGCGCAACCATGGCCAACAAGCTGTAGGAATGTGGATGCCATCTCTCTTAGAACTAACACTATTTCTCTTCAGCCAGAGGTGATCCTAACGCTTACCCTTGGCTTTCCTGGCCTTTTCCATATTGTAATGCGCTACTCCACCCCCCAACAAAAGGGGAGAGCACGAGTGAGAGCAAGGATCTTGGTGGTGGATGAAGCTGGCTTTCAGTCTTGCTGTGACTGTAAGTGAAGGGCCTGCCTTCCTTTAGCTGTATTTTCCTCTCTTAACCTTTTCTTGCTGTCTGTTGATTAACCCGCTCCATTTGCTTAAGTTCTTTACCCACCTGACATGATTTTTAACCTTTCTCATAACATTATTACCCTCATTGCCAACTCAAACCTGTCCCATTGCAGTCAGCTGTGTGTCACTCTTGTCCCTGCAGAGTGAGGTCAGAGTAACAGTGCATGTTGACCCAAAAGATGGGAGACATCACTTATTCCGTGTGGTTCTGCGGTTCACTAACCCAAGCAGCACCAGCGTGACAGGTAGCATCAAGGCTACCAATAACCGAGGCACTGAAGGTAAGGCTGCCTCTGACATTGAATCTGCTCCTACATTTCATATCATATCATCAAATCTAACCCATCATTGAAGGAATAGTATAAATAACCCATTTCCTTTATGACATTTATATGTACGCTGGTGCTGGGTGTGTCTTACTGTATGCTGATGATGTCTCACTCGTAATTAGTTTTCTATGCTCTCAACTGTGATTGTGTGAACATTACAGAAGTTTCTGCTTTGCTGCTCTGCAGGGTCCGGTCAGAGTAAGGAAGTAATATTCCCTGAGAGTTCCTCCCCATCCTTCCTCACTGTCCCAGGAGAGGGCTTTGCTGAGCCCTTTGCATTGACCCCTGGGAAATGGATCATTCACATAAGAGCAGAGGGTGTTCTGCTGGTAAGTTTATATTAAAGACGAAGATGTAGAAATGATCATGAACAAGAATTTGCGTCTTCCTGTTTAATAATGTACTTTGTTCATTCCTCTGTTCATTTGTTCATTGGAGAAAATAACACATTTGTAATAGACTGAATACTAAAATACACATTGTCACTCTTCAGGACTATTTATTGCTGCTGCCCCGGGATTACTATGAGGCACATTTGCTGCAGGAAAAGATCATCCAGCCCTGCACGTACTTACCCACTGCAAACAAGGATACAAAGTAAATCTTTAAAATTTCTGTTCGGTGTTTTTAAAGTCTGTGCCTATTTCACACTCACCACTCATCCATGACGTACGTAAGACTTTTGTTCATCAATCCTTTTCTTCATACTGCTGACTTGGTTCAACTAAACCTAACATGACCATAACAAATAAGGGTTTATGTTCATGCTTTCAAATGTACTGGTGTTTTTTTTATTGCTATAATAAATCATAATTTACAGATTGTTTGATACATGCCAAAAGAAATCACATCAGTTTTCAATAGACTGTACTATGCAATACATTAGTAGAGAGTGTAAAAAAGGGATTATCAAACATTCCAAATATTCCATCCATTGAACAGCATGCCAAGCCATGTTTTATGAATATGCTAGACTTTATGTAATTATCTCCCATTATTCTTGCTGACGCCTATGCCTGTGTGTCTCTGTCTCAGCTGTTTGTTATACAAGCATGTGGCCATGGATGGCTTCAGCTCTGCTCTGGGCTCAGAAGGAATACTCTCCAGCCGCAGTGGGCGCAGGAGGAGGCAGGCTCGTGTACGGCGTCCCACCCCAGATCACCCTGAGATGGCCGCTCTCAATGGCAGACAGGTACAGTAGAGAAGGCCTGGGTTTATGGTCACACCTACATACAATATAGAACTCAAAGCCAATACTTGAACATGCTTTTATAATCTTTTACTGATGTTTTTTTTTACGTACCTTGTATGATCTTTGTCTTGAAGTCGCAGCTCCAACTCAGTCTACGCGTGCCTCGTCCTGGCCCATACGCCCTTGTCCTGGAGTATGCCAGCGAGGTGGACACTGTCCAGAATGTCAACATACTCATCAGTGGCCAGTCAGATGGCTACATTCCTGCCAGGGCTAACATATACAGTTGTGCCTATAGGTGAGGCCTGCATTTGTTGCTTCAACTTTTCTTTTCAACCTTTCTTGTGCTAGTGTTTTGTTAATTTATGTCTAACAATTTGTAAAAATATAAAAAATATAAATTGTATTTGGTTTTTTAGCTGTTGCGTGTCTTAACCCTTGCAGCTTTTTGTGCCGGAGTGTGGCAGTGGACGGCAATAATCATGTTACAGTGCTGCAGCTTTCTCACAAGACAGAGATTCTCCTGCAAACTTCCACTACATCATTCCTGCTGGTGAGGGAAATGTTTCCACAAAATATTTATAATAGCTCAGTATCTAGACAGCAGCATGCAATTTGAAATATATTTGTTTCTCCGTGTAGTATAAAGTGTATGCAGTCCCTGCAGAAGAGTTCTCCATTGAGTATGTAGACCCCAAGGTGTTGTGTGTCTCCACTCACGGCCGCTTCACTGAAGACAGGTACGTCACTTTGAATAAACCCCAGTGCATGCTTTTAATAACATGGTCACACAGAGAATTTTTCAACACCCATGAATGTAAGCTGCAATTTAGGAGTTGCTACAAGAGTATGAAGACACACATCTGTTTTCCAGGTGTGATTGCATGCATTCCTGCAGCTGGGCAAGGTCATTTACCTGAGGCTAAACTTTGGGTCAGCTTCAGGTAACTGAGGTCACACTAAATGTACTCTGCAAATAATGACCAGGATACATGTTGCAGTGAAACGTGTGTTTACAGCTGTCACTGTGTAGTCCTTCCATTTACTGTGTAATCCACCTTGGACAGTGTAGAAAATGGAACAATGTGTCACCAAAGAAATAGTCAGAGTTGCAATGGTAAATGTTTACTTAAGCAAAGCTTAAAAAAAACTGAATGCAATGATGGCTTAATATTTAATCGACTCAAGCTTTGTGTTACCTTAAATGCGCCACTCACCATCTAAAATGTTTGCTGTTGTAATTACGTGGGTCTATGTTGATTTATGAGTTATTCAATTACTTCAGGATACATTCCCTGTTTTGCAAAACACCTCCTCCATAGTTAAGGAATAAAACTCGGATTTTACAAAGAGGGAAATTCAGGGATAATTTGAAGTAAGTTTGACTAAATATTGGAGTAAAATGGGGAAGTAGAACTAGGAGGAAGGACATGCAACCTGAAGACTTTCACAGTTTGCCTGTAAAACTAAAGCTTTCCTTAGAAGTATGTGTATATTTAGTGTGTGATATCAGGATTCCTGCACATTAATGAGAGGGAGTGTGATAACCAGAGGATTTTAAGGTCTCAGAGAGGATTATTGGAAATTAAGGATGTCCCCTCTCCTAAGCGCTTGGCAAACACTATCAACAGGCTTTAGGTGACCACATCTTGTTGTTGTTTAATGTTTCCAGTCGGCACTGCGTTCTGAGGCGATTCGACAAGCCAACCTCAGCCTGGATTTTGTACGCGGCCCGTGATGGACAGCTATCTTTGGCACCAGCTGTTTCTCCCCAACGAGGAGAGAATGAGGATTGGAGACGGAGACGACAGATTGGGGTGTTTCCTGTCCGCGAACCTCAGAGTGATGGGATACTGCTTAAATTTCCTCAGGTGAACACTCTGCCCTTTCTAACCTTGTTGAATATTTGAGCTTTTCTGAACCCTGCTGCTGGGAGTTGGAGACATTCAGTGAGCAACTCATGCCCTGACATTCATTTTCAATTTCACAAAGACTGTTTGACACTTGAGCCTCCTCCTCATTTTTTTCCAGACGGAGATCAGTTTCACTCCCAACGTGCCCCTCCCGGGTAGGTATGTGGTTGTGGTCCATTATCACCAACCGGAACACACCTCCTTCCCTGTGGAGGTCAGAGTGGACGCAGGGCGTGAGTGGAAGGGTGAGTGGGTTGGAGGAAGTGGTAGGCTTACTCCTGTCAAATGAAATAGAATTAAAGAATTTATTGGTTCCAATTGGATATAAGCGTGCTACTTGGAAAGCCCTCTCAGTGAGGGGGTGATTCCTCCTTAAGAGCAGATCAACTCCCAGGGCTCATGATAATATGATCAAAGGCCTTGGACACTCTTCCCTATATGGCTTTAAAGGAGGGATGGAATATTGTGCAACATGCCAACATTTCTTCTTCAGTCTCTACTCTACTTTAACTCTGCTCTTCTCTTACAGGTTCAATAAATGCATCCTTCTGCCCTGCGGTCTCAGGCTGCAGGGAGGTTGTGATCTCTGATGGGCGCATTGCCCTTGACTTTGACCAGAATTCTTGGCAGCCACCCACCATCTCTGTGATTGTGCCACCTAGGAAGACACTTATTCTGGTCAGTAGTTTATGTGATAAGTGTACCCACTAAATTAAATGATAGAAATAAGAAACAAAAATGAGAAAGAAATGAGTCAGGCATACCTCTGTGTAAAGTGTACTGCTTTTAGGAGTCTGTGTTTTATAGTAGAGTTCTTGAGGTTTGGTACTTGGCATGCTGAGGTCCTCTCTCCTTAGTGTTATGCCATATCCCCAACAACAACAATGAAGGGACTGTATTCTACCTGGCAGCCCCACACAGCGTTATAAAAGCTAAGCTTCCAACCTCTGTAAGACAGGGTTCAGGCTGGGCTTTTCTTGCCTGTTGTTCACCTGCTTTACTTTTTCTTCTCCAGACAAAATCAAGCAGAGAAATGTGGCTAATACATTACAAATCCTCAGTTGATCTGTTTATCACTCACTGCATCATACTGATAAATGTGTTTTAAGCACAAAACAAACCAAACTGTAAGTTGCTGGTGAGATTGTGTGTTTTTTTTAATCATGTGTTATGATTCATATCTTTTGTTTAGGATTATATCTTGCTGGTTCCCGATAGCAGTTATACCCCAGATCTCCTGAAAGAGAAGCCGCTGGATAAGTCTGCAGATTTCATACAGCAATGTAGAGGAGATGGTTTTTATATTGAGTAGGTATCCACCATGTCTGTGAAACAAGGACTCAAATCCATTTGTAATACAACTTTAAAGATTTTTTTTTATTAAGTTAGACACTCTTCTCTCTTATGATATGAATGATATGATATATTGATATTTAGTTAGCTCTTTTCACCAATGCAGCAGTTTTACAATAATAAACACCACTAATGCTTTTGGAAATAGTGCCCTCTAGCTGTGATAATGGAGAATGAAACAACATCTGTTTTTTAAACAACTCCTTTTATTTTTCTGCCTCTTTAGCCCCAGAACTTCTTCCCAGTTCTGCAGAGACTCTGCCCGCTCTCTTGTAGCGGCCTATAATGATGGCGCTCTGCCTTGCGACTGTGACAAGTCCGGTTCTACAGGGACCACTTGTGATCCGGTTGGAGGCCAGTGTCCCTGCAGGCAGCATATCATTGGTCGACAGTGCACAAAGTGTGCCACAGGATACTACGGCTTCCCTTACTGCAGACGTGAGTGAACTTGTGCTGGTTAACATTTGAGAGTTTTGTCACTTTCTTAACCTCTACTTTGTTTGAAATGTGTTCGTCCAATTGAAATCCCCTATTTCCCTTCTGCAGCCTGTGAGTGTGGCCGCCGACTATGCGACGAGGTGACAGGACGCTGTATCTGCCCTCCTCAGACAGTCAAACCATCTTGTGATGTGTGTCAGAGTCAGACTTTCAGCTATCACCCTTTGTTGGGTTGCGAGGGCTGTGAATGCTCTCCAAATGGCATTAAAGCCAATGCAGGGCCTGACTGTGACCGCATCACCGGACAGTGCATGTAAGTGAAAACCTACAAGGCTGTGCTCTTATTAAGACTGGATGTTAGCGTTTATTAGTGAAATTAGTAAATTAAACGATGTTTTACACAAAATGTTGTTGTTTCATGTATATTATACAAACAGTCCGGACTGTAAAATATATATTGCCATTCTTAATATAAAGTTACTCAATTAAAATATAAAATACAGAATAAAAACTTTTTTTAAATAATGAAAGGGTAAAAAGCTAGAAAGAATATTTTTTTTAAGTTACACCTTGGAAGTGCAAATATTTTTTTATTTGGTTGGTAAATAATAACCTGCAATGTTTTTGTTTATTTTATGTTAAATATAGATTTACTGTAGTCTACTGTACAGTTAAGTTGTCACTTTATGATAAAAGTTACTCAAATGCATCATACGTATATCATAAGAATATAATTTCTTAATTCTTCCTAATTATATAATTTCTCTGTAATTTACAATACTTATTAAACAGCCGCACAAATAACAGTTGACTCTTTTCAATACATTTTCTCTTTCATGCACTAATTTTTAAACAATGAAAAAGGAATGTGAGGCCTGCAGCCAGTGAAACAACAGTGAAAGGGAAACTTGACACCAAAGCATTTAAAGTGATTCATCACAGGCATTAGTTGACAGTCCAGTCATGTTGATAAATAGATTATCTTTGCTGTCATGTATGTTTTTAGTCTGAAAATCTGCTACACCTCTCAGTTAATAAGATAAGATAAGATATTCCTTTATTTGTCCCACAATGGGGAAATTCCGAATTTCTCCGTTATGTAAATGTAATATATAATATATAAATATAATGTCTCCGTTAGTAAAGAAACAATGAAACGTACTGAACAAATACCAGCATAAAGCAACACGCTGTACAATAATGCACAACGTGTGATTATACTGTTTTTCTTTTTACAAAAATCTGTTTTATTTCAGTTGTATGTGTAACTTTATTTTATTTCTTCCTTTTGCTATGTCTGACTTTATACATGTATGAACCACATGAGTGCTTTGTAAATCCTGTCCAGAATTGTATGATAATTACGATTTTAAGATAACGTCCCTGTGTATTTTTATGTAGTTGCAAGCCGAGGATCGGGGGCCGGCAGTGTGATCGCTGTGCTCCGGGTTATTATCGCTTCCCTGACTGTGTGCCTTGTGACTGTAACCAAGGTGGTGTCACACCTGCTGTGTGCCACCCAGACACAGGAAGGTGCCTCTGCAAGGTGAGTTCATTAAATCAAATTGTGGATTTAAAAACTCCCTTTTACTCATTTTTGTTTGTTGTTTCTTTCCTTGCGATGACTCTCTTCATTGCTCTTATCTTTGCTGCCATGTTTGTAGAAAAATGTTGCTGGCGGCAAGTGTGATATCTGTCGGGAAGGTTCCTTCTACTTTGACCCCTCCAGCCCTCATGGCTGTACCATCTGCTTCTGCTTCGGGGCGACTGACCAGTGTCAGAGCTCCAGCAAACGCAGGGGGAAGGTGTGTTTGCTTTTCGTGTCCCTGCATGTCTATGAATGCTTTTTGGAAATTTCATGCCTTTAAAGCTTTCTGGCAGATAGGAGGTATGTGGTGAACACTTTCATTTCTTTAATGACTGCTAAACATGTTCAGGAATTTTACGGGTTCTGGGTACATTCTTTAATACAAAGTGGACTCTGTTTTCAAGTGAAATTACTTTGTAATATTATGTGTATATGTATACGTTATAAGCCCCTTGGAGTCAGTCAGCGCCTATGAATTCTGAATACAATGCAGATGGATTTTTTAACCCTTAAATACTCCCCTTTATTAGTTTGTTCAGATGCAGGCCTGGCGTTTGGAAAGCCCTGACCAGGACGTTTCCTCTGTGCTGAACACAGCCAGTAACACAGTGGTGGCAGACATCCAGGAGCTTCCTCCTACAGTTCAGACTCTACACTGGGTGGCACCATCGTCCTACCTGGGAGACAGGGTGAGTCAAAGAGGGAGTGAATGTCATGGCAACGAGAATGCAGTTGTCAATAAATGTTTGCAATAGCTTTATAGTTATATTCTTGAAAAATCAAGCCAAAATAAAAGGCAATATTAAAAGAAAATTCTGTATTTTCTTTTTTGTCTTAATTTCATAGCTTTGTCCGTATTCCCTATTTTACTCAATATCATTGTTGAGATCTGAGGATCCAGCATTTAACCTGCATTATCATTTTAAATGTAAGTCAAATGACTCATCTGGAGGTGAAAGAAACATTCTAGTTACAGTTTTGACCTACTTCATTTACTAGATTTACTACATTTTATTTACACTTCCAAATAGTCTGGTTCAGATAATTCAGTTTCTTTTCTTTTTAAATCTTTTGATTTTATGGGCTCAGTTTTGAAAAAAGGTTAATGTCCCTAAAACCTTCTTAACTTAAGGCTATCATAACTGATAGAAATTATGGCTTCAACTATTTTCCTCCTAGTTGTGAAATAATACCCAGTTTACATACATATAGAAAGCTAATTTCTTTATTCTCTCTGAAGCTCTTTCAGATAAGCTGACAGATATTTGGGCCTTTGTCTTAGGTTTCATCTTATGGTGGTTTCCTCACCTACCAGTCCAAATCCTTTGGGATTCCCAGTGAGGGGATGACTCTCATGGACAGAAGACCTGATGTCGTGCTGACTGTGCGTAGTGCTACCAGTTCCTTTACTCTTAGACCTCTCTTATTTTTATTGTCAGAAACACAACTTATTTATCCATTTCAATATTTCCCCCCAGGGTCAGGATATGACCCTGATCCACATGGCTCCACAAGTCCCACTTCCAGACAGGCTGTATCAGGGCAGAGTCCAGCTATTGGAGGTAAAGTACACACCAATTCTTCCGCTTGACTTACAATCTGGAGCACCACAAGGCTGTGATTTCAAATCAACCTCATGACATAAAAAGTGTTGTAATGGGGTGAACTACACCCCGATGATTTTATCTTTCTTAGACTGTGTGTGAATGGTGTGTGAAGTAGATTTTGACCTGAAAGTTGGGCTAGTCGAAAATGATTTGAATATTTAAAAGAGTTCATCTTCTGGGGAGTGTAAATGTGTTTTTGTGTGTACACAACAATCTGACATTAGATGTGGTTATTTTTGGGAATAAGTGCAACTTTATCGTGATAATGGTGCAAGAATAAAGGCCGGAGAGTCACAAAAGCCATTAGGATTCTTCCTCAGAGGACCATAAATGTTCATACCAATTTAAAAGATAATCTGGCCAATCTTTGTTCAGATATCTTGCCCTGCATGTCAGTAATAAACACATATACTGTATAATATAATGTACTTGTTTGTACTCTTGTTTTATATCATATTAAATCTAATGAAATATTCTTTTTTAATATAGTCCCCCCACTACAGATTCCTCAGCATTAGTCAAAAAGTAACTGATCTGTTATCTGCAGGGAAATTGGCGCCATGCTATCACCAACAGGCCTGTGTCCAGAGAGGAACTGATGACGGTCCTAGCCGGTCTGGTTGGCCTGAGGATCCGAGCCTTGTACTTTACTCAGACCCAGAGACTCAGCTTAGGGGAGGTGGGCCTGGAGGAGGCGACTAACACAGGGACTGGTGGTCCTGGAAACACAGTCGAAGATTGTTCCTGCCCCCCTCAGTACACTGGAGACTCCTGCGAGGTGAGGCCATTATATATCCCTCAATACTGCTGGTCTTTATTTTTACTTGAATAAAAAGAAGGTGGGAAGGCGTGTAGATAAATGTGAAAAGAGCATGCGATTATTCATGGCTTTGTTGAACTTGATAGGTTACAAACACAACAGATCATATTTAATATTTATATTTAAAACAACAAGTGTTGCATCATTAAAAGCAAAAACCTCTAAGGAATTCGGCTTCACTGACTCTTCCATACTGAAAAAACGTTTATGCTTGCATCTGAAATTTACATAGGCGTGTCAAAATATGGTGAGATAAGGATCACTTTGTCAGTTCTGAGAGGCAGCGCAGATGACAGGCGGGGTGTTTCTAAAGTCATCTTTGAGGAGTTGGAACTCCTCCCCATATTTGTAGGGTGTCCTGACACGCCTGAACCAAGTACCACACCCTTTTCCGAGAGGAAAAGTTCATCATCCTTTCGTGGAATGTACTGGAAAATACCAGCCGCAGAGCTGCACAGTCAAATTGTGTAGCCCCGGGGTGGGATATGATGCACAATCACGCAGACATAATATTAGTGATTATACAACTATAATCACTGGCATGGCTACAGCTCATAGAAACGTAGTGCAAACAACCGTGGTGTAGTTGCTAAGGAAAAGCTTTACTTGAATTCTTTTTATCCTGGGAATGGTGCAGACTTGACTCAGTGTGTTTGTGCTTCTCATATCTGATTTATATGCACATGACTGCAGCTGTTTTGACCACAGAAGCTTATTAAAAAGCTGAGAATGGAGCAACCACTGATTAATAGGAGTTTTCATTCAACATAGATTATTTGTTAGTGGAGACAGTAACAGTAACAGTAATATCTATAAAACTTGAATGTTTGAGTGCTGTTGCCATAGATGTGATTACCTACCCGTCTGTCAGGGAGTGTTTTAAAGGAAGTTTGATTATATGCACCCAGAGGCGGTATGACAAGGTGCCTCGCCTTGACATGCGGGGTGTGGCAGTTGGCAACAAACTGTTACTCATAAACCTGAGTGCATTCACTTGAGTGCACCTACAGTGTGTGCGTGTGTCTGTAAGAACACCGGACACACCTAGTTGTGTCTGTCGTGTGTTTGAGGAGTGTGATTCAGGTGTGAGTTTGTTGTCTGAGGATGTCTGACTTTCCTCTCAGTCACATATGCTTGCACAAACACCGTTATGAACCACACACACGCGCACACACATACACACACACGTATACACACAC